TGGGTGGTCTGCCTGTGTGGTACTTGGTTCAGTAAGCCCCATTTACTGAACCAAGTGGGAATTAGCCAGGCAGGCACAAAGGGTTTGCACCAGGTCTGGGACACAGGGGACACCGTCTTAAAGGGGCAGTGTCCCCAACAAGTCTGGGGACACGGCCTTAAAGGGGCAGTGTCCCAATCTTCCTGATGTCCCAAAAAAGGTGTTTAAAGGGCCAGCACCAGTCACATAAAGAGTCCGTAAGCCCCAATATGCCCACCGACAGTCTTAAAGGGCCATACACACCAAATAAAAGTGCATACATTTTCACAATCTCCCAGGGGCCATAGTCATGTGGGAGGAGGCTGGCAAATAGGCTTCTTCACAACCCAGGGAAGCAGGGCAATTTGCCATTTAAAGGGCCCGTTACAAATAGCAGTTTGTAACAAGGTGTCAATCCATATCTGCCAAGTGACCCTATGTAGGGGTAACAGTCCCTATTCTGCTCTGTGTCAGTGTGTATCATGGTCTCTGAGGACAGGTGTCAAACCATATCTGCCAAGTGACCCTATGTAGGGGTAACAGTCTCTATTCTGCTCTGTGTCAGTGTGTATCATGGTCTCTGTGGACAGGTGTCAATCCATATCTGCCAAGTGACCCTATGTAGGAGGAACAGTCTCTATTCTGCTCTGTGTCTGTGTGTATCATGGTCTCTGAGGACAGGTGTCAATCCATATCTGCCAAGTGACCCTATGTAGGAGGAACAGTCTCTATTCTGCTCTGTGTCAGTGTGTATCAGGGGCTCTGAGGACAGGTGTCAATCCATATCTGCAAGTGACCCTATGTAGAGGGAACAGTCTCTATTCTGCTCTGTGTCAGTGTGTATCATGATCTCTGAGGACAGGTGTCAATCCATATCTGCCAAGTGACCCTATGTATGGGGACCAGTCCCTATTCTGCTCTGTGTCAGTGTGTATCAGGGATCCTTAGGACAGGTGTCAATCCATATCTGCCAAGTGACCCTATGTAGGGGGACCAGTCTCTATTCTGCTCTGTGTCCGTGTGCATCAGAGGCTCTGAGGACAGGTGTCAATCCATATGTCAAGGTGTCAATATGTCATATGTCAGGTGTCAATCCATATTGATTGTGATTTAGGAATGTTAGGTGATTTCTGCGCTTTATGGATTAAAACCAGACTCTGTATCAACTGTGTAATTTTCCATGGGAGTTTTGCCATGGATCCCCCTCCGGCATGCCACAGTCCAGGTGTTAGTCCCCTTGAAACAACTTTTCCATCACTATTGTGGCCAGAAAGAGTCCCTGTGTGTTTTCAAATTCGCCTGCCCATTGAAGTCAATGGCGTTTCGGGCGGTTCGGGTTCGCGACATCACTACTCGCAAATAATATCAGTGTTTGGAACGCAACGCACACCATTATTGACGTTGCGTGCGTTCCAAGCATATTACACAGGAGTCCAATCAGACCACTGAGACCCGGACTATGCCACATTACGGTGGAACACAGGACTTGCTGATCCAACCCATCACCTCGCCGCATCACTTCCGGTGCACTTTGCGAAACCGGAAATAGGAATCACCAGGTAGCTATCTTCAATCAAGTTCTTCCCATATACACAGGATACCATGAAGACCACCCCACACTTCGAAAAAGCCTCTGGACGGGCGAAACACGTCAAGTGGGACATACCTGAGGACATTTTATATTGTTCCTATGTTTTTTTTTTTTTTTCAATTATTTTGTTTTTATTGAGATTTTTCCAACTTTTAACAATCAGCTTACATTTGTTACCGATATAGGTTGACAATGGTTACAACAGAGATAATGCTAAGTTAAAACCTATTGACACATCTTATACCGAGATTGTTTTGTCATATTCTCGCCTACATGTCATGAGCAGTACAAAATGATAAGTTTAGTGAGTCATAACTAATTGTGTTTGAAGTTTAGTAGTGCGGTTTATCAGATTTGTTGGCCTCTGTTATGTTCTTTAGATAGTCATTGTTTTATTTTTTTTTTGTCATATTACTGTGGCTTTCGTAATAAACACAGGTGTAATAACTTGGTAATGCCCAAGCTCTGTTGTCTGGGTTGTGATCTGATTTTATGTGTAAATCAGTTGAGGTGTGACTCCCACCATAAAACATACGCAGGGCCTCTGCATTCATTGGGTCGTAAAGGTGTCCATTCAGAAGCAATAGACAGTCTAATGTACCTAAACGTTTTCCGTGTCAGTAGCGTAGGGCCTATCTTCTGTCTGTCTGTCTGGTGGTGGCTAAGGCCTGTGTCCTGAGGGGGGTTGGTCGTCCAATTTCGTTCCTTCGTGTCTGCTAGCGGAGTGTTTCTTTTTGTCTCCTTATGTTAGGTGTGCGCAGGATGTCGTGTGTGGTTTGTTTCCCTAAAGTCGGTTGGGGGGTCGTCTCTTCACAATCTAGTGTTTCCTGTGTTGGAATACTGTCAATATGCCTATCCATGGGCCCCCCTGTGGGCCTAATCTAGGTGTCTGTTTGGTGCCTCGCCTCCGACCTCCACTGCTCGGCTCACCTCTTGTATGGATGGGAGGGTAGGGGAGGGGAGGAACATGGGTGGGTGTAGAGGAGAATAAGAAGGCCGGCAGGCCTTATCCCCACCCACAGACCCCAGACAGCCCAGGTCCGGCGGGCCCCTGCCATCTGTGTCGTGTCTTACCCGCTCTGGTTATCTTCTGGACAGATAGAGGATCCATTTGTCCATGTTGTTCCTTATCACCGCTGTGAGCCTTTCCATCTCATGTAGCTCTTCAACTTTATCCATCCACTACCGGAGTGTGGGTGTCTGTTCTGATTTCCATCTGTTCGGGATCAGAGCCTTTGAGGAGGTGTTTTGTCAAGGATTTTTTAGACTGCGAGAGTGGTGTCTGGGTGTGGTGGAGCAGCATCTGGAGCGGTTGAAATGGGAGCTCGGTGTCCTGTATCTCTCGGATAGCTCCATGGATCTCCCGCCAGTAGGGGGCTATCCTTTTGCATGACCACCAGATGTGGAGGTTTGTTCCTGGTCTCTCCCCACATCTCCAGCATGTGTCTGGGACTTCGGGCAGCATGCGGTGGAGCCTTTCCGGGGTGCGGTACCAGCCAATGAGTAATTTGTAGTTTAGTTCTTGTAGTTTGGAGCACATGGAGCTCTGGTGCATGAGAATATATATTTTGGTCCACTGGGCGTCGGTGAGCTCCGTTCCCGTCACTCTCTCCCACCGTGCAGTGTGTTTCGCTAGTTCGAGCGGGACCTTCGACCTGAGCATAAAGTAAAGGACTGAGATCCCCCGGGGATGTGCGTCCCACTGCTGCAATATTTCTCGAACTCTGTAAGGGGCCTGTGAAAGAGATGTCTCCCTTGTTGGGTATTATAGTAGGTCTTGATTTGGAGGTACTGAAATCTCTCTAGCCCTTTTGGGGTCTTGCTCTACATTAAGTTGGGTAGTTGTTTGAGTGTAGCCGTGGTGCACCATTGGTGTATGTGGGTTCGGCCCGCTCTGCCAAAGGCTGCCACATCCTTGGGTAGGAGCCCCCCTGCTACCTCGGGGTTAAAGGGTACCGGGGTCATTGGCCCTGGTAGTGTGGTAAGAGAGAGTTTCGTCTGAATTGCTTTCCAAATTCGCAGTGTTGCTCCGATGAGTGGGTGGTTCTGGGCTTGGGTATTCTTCATGAGGTCATATCTCCAGACTAGTGCCTGGATCCTCTCCTCCATCAATACCTTTTCCATGCATATCCAGTGCTTGGGCATGTGTGGGATATGCCACTCGACAATACATAATAGGTGTGTGGCTCTGTGGTACGCCCTTATTGATGGTAGACCGTTCCTCCCTGTTCCTTCGGTCTGTGAAGCAGGGTCCTGTGAATCCTGGGCGATTGGTTGCACCATACAAACTTAAAAATCTAGTTGTCGGAAAAAAGTCGTGGGTAGGCTGATTGGGATCGTTTGAAATAATACAGTAGGCGGGGGAGGAGATTCATTTTGATGGCGTTCATTCTGCCGAACCAGGAGATGCATAGTCAGACCAGCGTACCATGTCTGTCTTGAGTTGTAGTGTGAGCGGAGCAAAGTTATGGGTATATAGGTACTTGAGGTCTGTCGGGAGCCAGATACCGAGGTACTTCAGTTTGGTGTTGCACCACGTGAATGCGTATTGCGTGCGTAGGTGGGTGGCCTTCTCCAGTTCGGTCGCAATGAGCATTGCTTCTGATTTGTCAATGTTAAGTTTTAAGTTTGATACCTCTCCGTATTCCTGAAATGCTTTCAAGATGTTCGGTAGTGACACCAAGGGGTTGCCGACGAAGAATAATAAGTCGTCGGCGTATGCCGCTATTATGTGTGTGGTGCCCTTCAGGGTGAACCCATAGATACCCCCGTCCCGTCTGACCGCCCCCAGGAACGGTTCCAGGGAGAGGGAAAACAGGAGGGGGGAGAGTGGGCACCCCTGTCTTGTCCCATTTTGGATCTGGAACGTCGGTGACAAGGCCCCGTTGACTCGTATCCTTGCATTCAGTATGGTACATATTGACTTAATCCATGTCAATATGCATGGGCCGAATCCCATTTGCTCCAGGGTAGAGGTCATGAACTGCCAGTCCACACGATCGAATGCCTTCTCCGCCTCCGTGGATAGGAGAAGGGTGCATCGGTTTAGCTGTCTCGCCACGTGGATGATGTTCAATGCTTTGGTGGTATTATCTCTTGCCTCCCTTCCAGGGGTGAATCCCACCTGATATGGGTCCACCAGTTCAGGGAGAAATCCCTGTATTCGTGTGGCCAAGACTTTGGTGAAGGAGGGATATCGACCTGTAGCTCGCACATAGCGTGAGGTCCTTCCCCTCCTTCGGGATAATCGTCACCGTTGCTGCCAGGGAATCTGCCAGGGAATCTCTGGGCAATGCACCTCCTTCCCGTATCAAATTTAGGCTTTTAAGGAGCTGTGGTAAGAGTACATCCCTGAACTCTTTGAGGTATCTGGCCGGTAGCCCATCTGGACCCGGGGTTTACTCAGCTTGGTAGATTTCAGAGCCGCCTGCAATTCCATGACGTAATGGGTGCCTCTAACTCTGCCACCTCTGCTTCGCTCAGGGTCTTCGTGATATGTTGTTGCAGGTATGCTGTCCTTCGTGTGGTTCTTAGTTATTCTGTCTCCAGAGATTCCTGGTATCTTAGATTGTAGAGATCTGTATAGTATCTGTGGAATTCTGCCATTGTCCGGTAGGTGGGTGGCTGTGCCCTCTCTCGTTTGAATTTTGGTGATATGACTCAAACGCCTTTGTCTCTGTAGTGCTCTGGCTAGGAGCCTCCCACACTTATTTGAATATTCATAGAAAAAGCGCTTGGATTTGCGAATCGTGCGTTGTAGTTCCTATGTTTTTAAAGCTTTTTTAATAAATAGTAAATTTTTTATCCATTTTACTATTTTGTATCCTGTTTGCTACCTGACATCATCATATCAAAAAGGTGGAGATTATACCACCCATGCTGTGAAAACTAGAGCAGGCTTTGCTCTTAAAAATGTAATTCCAGTTTACAGTACTTACTGGTGTAGTAAGTTTACAGTACTTACTACACCATCAGAGTTTTCTTCTGCTCTTTTTCTATATTCTTTGTCAAATATCTGCATTTGCATCTGGAGGACCAGCACTACTTATACTACCCTATATCCTTAGACGGTGATTATACTGTCCATGTGCAATACAGCAGAGCTCTAATATAGCTCTACCAAATGTGAGTGGTTCTCCTACAGTCACCATATCCACTATTTTGCACTTTATCAAATTGTACTGTACTATTATTTTCTTTCTTTTTGTATTATCCTGAGGTTTTCTATACAATACCCTTTGAAGTTTTGTGTACGTATAATTTTGGGCGCAGTATACGCCATATTATTTTCTTGCTTTACTATCACACGAGGTCTTGGGAATTCTTGTATTGTATACAGCAGCCCCTACATACCTATTGTTTTATAGAGAGCGCCTATAACTCTTGTTTTTACCAAAGTCCTTGTAAGGACTAGAGCTCCCAGGACTATGTGTTATTGGGAGGGAATAGAGCTAGTCCCCTATCTGGTTCCAGGACAGAGAGGCTCCAGGAGCACCCCACGGCAACTGGGGAAGAAGCACAGAGGTTTTCTCCTGTTCCAGGTAGGAAGCAGTCCTTGGCAGAGGTACCCAGCTGGGATAGAGGGAGCTCCGCTATAAATAGTGGCAGTGGTTGGATGTCTTCCTAGGGAAAACATCAAAAACAACCCTGAGACACCTGCGCATTTTCTGGAGAGGAACTTACTTTTTTCAGAGATGAACAAACATGGCGACCAGCTACACTGACGTGCAGTTTGACAAAGAGCTGAAGGGGCTGCTGGCTTTCTATTGACCCAACCCCTCTCAGAAAAACATACAGCATTTAAGGAATATAATGGCTGGATACCTGCAATGCACAACAGAGCAGGCAAGAGAGTTGGCACGGTGGGGGATACCCCCTGCACCTGTAGCAGAGTATGTTTCAGGGAGAGAAGCATTTCGTCCTTTCTCTGCAGCGGCAGTGTGAGTTATTGGGAGTGGAGACAGTCAGCCTCACTCCCCAGCGGCTGAGTGAGTTATTGGGAGTGGAGACAACTGGTCTCACTCCTCACCTGCAGTGTGGGGTCCAGGGAGAAAAGACAGTCAGTCTGTCTCCCTTGTGGCAGAGTATGTTACAGGGAGTGGAGACAAGCGGTCTAACTCCCCAGCACCAGAGTATGTTCCAGGAAGAAAAAGCGTATCGTCCTGCCTCCCCAGCGGTGAAAGAAGACAAACGGTCTCACTCCCAGGCAGCAGTGTGCATTTCAGGGAGAGGAGACAACTTGTGTCTCTCCCCAGCACAGTGCAAGTTACTGGGAGTTGGGACAGCCAGTCCTACTCCCCAGCGTCAGATTATGTTCCAGGGAGGGGAGACAACCAGTCTCTCTCCCCAACAGCAGTGCGAGTAATAGGCATCACAGAGTAGCTAAATACAGAAATTGTTGCTACTTTTGTTACCTTTTCTTTGTCGATTAGCGTTATATCCTGCATTTACATAAATATTATTCCTTACCTCTTCAAAACACTGCGACAATCAGATTTCTCTGGGTCTTTATAGAGAAAGTACCAATAGTAATGGGGTTACTGGCAACGAGTGCATAAAGGAATTGTGTGAGAAAATGTGTATTCTTATATCTAGATCATTCTAAAGGATTACATAGAAAAAGCATTAGTATATCACCTATCGATTCAAATAAATGGTGCCAAAATAAAAGGTGATGTTCTAACCTACATTTTGTTAAAACATTGCCATTTCTGGCGCCATTTTTTTTTTTTAACATATTTTGTTTTACACAAGTCCTTGGCTTATGTGGACTGAGAACAGTAGCTAATAAGGAAAATCTTATTTCATTAAAATGTCAATTGGTTGTGACAAACTAGCTCATGTCTGAGTCTAGTCTCAGTAGACATTTGACTAATTTTATTTTGGCTTCATTTAAAGCTTTATATGTAGCATCTGACATTAATTCGGGGGATATCTCAGTAGAGTATTTGATAAAGCTGGGAAACCTAGCAAACTGATAAATGATTCAATTCAAATGAACAAAAAATGAACTGTTTAATAAATAAAAATAGTGCTAATTACTGTATAGTAACCGAACGATAAAAAAAAAAGGAGTTGACTTTTTTATTTGTGCAGTTATTGGTGAAGCAACAAACATCAATAGATGATTTCTTATAGGTTAACATTACTAGAATTAGACGGACACTCTAGTAACTAAAATAACTTTAGCTTAATGAAGCAGTTTTTGTGTATAGATCATGCCCCTGCTGTTTCACTGCTCAATTCTCAACCATTTAGGTTTTAGAGTTCAATCTCTTCTGTTTCTGTCTATGCAGCCCTAGTCACACCTTCCCTTGCTGTGACTAACACAGCATGCATGAAACAAAATAGTTTAATCTTCAATCAGATGAAACATACTTTAAAATGTTGTATCTCATGCTCTGAAAATTGTACTTTAATTACATAAAGGAGGCTCCTGTAGGATCCAGCAAGCTATCATCAGAGCAGGAGATAAGAAATTCTAAATTAAACAAAATTTGAGTGTAAACATTAGATGACAGGTAATGTTTAGGAAGGCTATATAAGTCACATGAAGGGAGGTGTGACTAGGCTGCACAAACAAAGTGGTTTAACTTCTAAATGGCAGATAATTGAGCAGTGAGACTGCAGGGACATGATCTATACACCAAAACAGCTAAAGTTGTTTTGTAACTATAGTGTCCCTTTAAGCCATTGGTTCTCAAACCAGTCCTCATGGCCCACCTACAGTCCAGGATTTATGTATTTCCCTATTTTATACCAATGGAGATACTAACAAAACCTGGATTGTTGGTGGGTCTTGAGGACTGGTTTGAGGACCACTGCTTTAAGCCAATCATTGTTTAGGCAAATTAGATGCTGCACAAAAAATGAAATATATTATAAGCAGATAAAAATAAGAAAAAATATTTTAAAATCTGGAAACCTTAGATAGACTATTGGTTAAATAGACATAGATACAACTAATGAGGTCAGACGGCTCCCCAGAAAAAGGGAGGTGCTGTACCCCACCGGAATTACCTCTAAATGAAAAGATAATCTTATAGGTAATAAACTTTATTATAAATTGATATACAAAATAGGTGCAACTACAAGTGAAAAGTGATAATCACAATCAATTAAAAAGGAGGGGAACCTACATAGCTCAGTGTCAATTGTAGTAACAAACGGAAACAGTGTGAGCTACTAAAATTAAATTTTAGCTATACCCCAGATTGGTATGTATCAAAACCAATAAGATATCAAATTCAAGTGAAAAGGATATAGTATTAGAAGGGAGAAGCATATTTAAATCAATCCACCTCTGCAGTAGCCACAGGTCTACAAGGAAATCCTGTTGGAAAGTACTCAAGCTCTCAGGGGTTAACCTGAGCAAGTAGATGTAATTAAAAGACTCTTGTTTATGTAGGAAAATCCTGTGGCTATAATTTGTTGCAAAGCTAGAGGAGATAGAGAAAAAATAAATGAATTAATTAATTAACTGAAGTCAATTCTATCAATCCCCATAATACTGAGGTAGATACTGTAGTTTATACAGGAAAAGTCCTGAAGGTAACTCCAAAACCGATACTGGTGCTGAATGGGTTTAATAAGTTTAACCCTAAGGAGGCCTTAGGTACTAGTAGTTCACAATTTATTGGTTTAAGTATTACTTCATATAGAAGATTTGTGTAAACTCAATATTAGATGCAGGAGTAAAACAAAGTACCTAAACATAAATCAATGTGCAATAGTCCTAGTGTGGCTATAATTAGTTGCACATCTGGTAGAGATAGAAAAAGAGCAACTGAAATACATTTTATCAATACCCACAATACTGAAGTAGATTCTGTGGTTTATACAGGAAAAGTCCTGAGGTTAACTCCAAACCCGATACTGGTGCTGAATGGGTAACGTATAATCCTTAGGATGCCCTAAGTACTAATATCTCACAATTGATTGGCTTAAATATTACTTCATATAGAGCATTTATCTAAAATCAATGTTAGATGCAAGGGTAAAACAAAATGCTTAAACATAAATAAAGTGATATAGTCCTAATGGGTAATTCCCAACAGCACAGAGACAGAGCACAAAGGCAGTATCGGGGAAAGAAGGTGGGAAGTAATAACACAGCTAGGGTGTAGGTATATATTCCTATAAATAATACATGAAGCTGGAGCAAAACTATGTTATCCAGACCTATCTATCCTAGAGTACAGCTGCTTTGAGGCAGCCACTCCCAAGAGGTCTTGATAAAGGCGGATAGTTACGCCGAAAAGCGTGTTGAGCCTATGTGCTGATGCATAATATGAGATTTACTTGATTTTTTTTACTTGTTTGTGTGTCTAAGTATGGAGGTTTATTTATTTATAAGGTTGAGAGATACTACCATTTATTTTCCTGGGGCAATGACCTACTTAGTCTAGTCTTAATAAAGGGGGGTCGTATCGGGATTGACAAATTACATTTTTATTTAGTACAAAATAATTCGTATGAAATTAAAATTTCACTGGTGCACATGTCTAGCAATTGCCTGACTTTTCACTAGTATGTTTTTCTTTCTCAAATCTAATTTAACTGATTTAAAAGCTGTTGATATTGGCTTTATGTTTTTACCTGGTCATAACTGTAGTAACTTTTAATTTTCTGCAAGCTTCTACTCTGAAAAATGTACTTCTCCTGGTCTGGTTTATA